GTTGTCATTTGATGGAGGACAGAGACCAAAAACCTGAGAGAAATCAGAAACCCCAGAGATAGCTTTAAGAAACCTTAGCTTCCTAAAAACCCTAACCCCGAAGCCTGAGAAAACCTAGACCTAGGGCACAATAACCCTAGATCTAACCCTTTACACCAGAGACTGGCTGATCAACATCCGAATCGGAGAAGCAAAAGAGGACCAGTTCTGATACGGGTGAGCCCTCGAAGGCCAAGGAGTCCCAGGCCATCTCGCTCAGTTTGGTATTCTTTCTTCACTTTTCCTTCTTCTTCTTTTTACTATTTTCATTTTATTTTGATCTTATTTTGTTTAGTTCACTTTAAAAATCGTATTTTAGTGTCTCGGATCATGCTGGCTCTACCACAGATCTGAGAGTAGATCTGCTCGTTTCCGGGCAGATTTGGCCTCAGATCTGAATTCGATTTGTCTCACTTTATTTACCACTTTATTTATTTCATTTTCATCAATTTTAAGGTGTTAAGATCCGAGAGAACTTCATCGGAAGATCTATCAGATTTTCATCATAAACACCTACGGACCTAGGTCGTGAAATGCTCTCTCCTTATTGGCATCGGGGATCCAAGTGTTGAAAAATACCTTCAAACAAGGGGGACAGGGATACGCATCACTTTCATGTCTCCTTGATAGCAAGTGGGCATGGGCACCAATGGGCTTAAACCTACAATTGTGCTACCGTCAGGTTCACTTTAGGTCTCTACTGGCAAGCCCTCTTGCACTGAGGGGAGGGGGAGCGGTGTGTCTCCCACATCTTTTCAACTTGGCGGGTCTTTCGAGGGCACAGAGTGTCACGACCCCACCCTCTGTCCCCCTGCTGTTCTCGCCAGAGGGCAACAAAGTGCGGATCCGTGATCCAGAGGTATTGAATGCCACTCAGTTTGGAGTCTGCTCATTGCTTTAGAAAAGCGGTAATCAAAGCAAACAACGAAAATAGAGAAAACTCTAATCACAATCATGCTAGATCTGTGCAAATTAAAACTGAAACTTATATTTGTTCAACTACAAGTTAGAGTATTACAATCGTTCAGGGCACCAAAGGCTCAAATATAACAAATGCATATCTCCAACACAAACAAGAACATGGCCCACGGTCAATAACCCCAAGCGGGAATAATCTAGAAGAGCAATATAATAATGACTTGGAGATGACCACAAGAATGAGTTTACAGGAAACATACCAGAGGGAACGTGGGTTTAAATATGACATGGGCATGCATGGTGGGCCTAGCTCAGACATGCATGGTGGGCCCAGCTCGAGCATGTATGGCGAGCCCAGCTCAAATATGTATGGAGGGGTTGGTGGCAATATGTATCAATAGAAATCAACCGTTGAAGAAATTGTTTCTAGCTTATCTAGGAGTGTCAGTATTGCAGGTCATGGTCGTATAGACCCATTTCTCAGCCTAAGTCAGAACAGATGACCCTCAAAGGCATGGTGAAAGGTATGACAAACATGTTGGGCAGATATGTTGGTACATGGTGCTATGATAAAGGGATCCCCTTTGATGCAGCTAATAGCCCATATTTTCAACCTATGATCAATGCAGTCCAGAGAGCCCGGCCCAGGGTAAAACCCCCGACAGCATATGAGCTCAGTGGGCCAATCTTGGATGAAGAGGTGGAGGAAGTTAGAAAGTGGATTGAAGAATATAAACAGAGTTGGCCAAAAACAGGCATTACTCTCATGAGTGATTGTTGGATGAATAAAGTTAGCAAAAATGAGTTTTTAAACTTCTTGCCCTATTTCCCAAAAGGTACAGCTTTTTTGGTCTAGCAAAGACGTATCAGGGACGAAGAAGGATGCAAACTTCTATGTACGACTATATGATCAGATACTGGAGGAAGTAGGAGATAAGCATGTAGTCCAGTTTATTACGGATAATGCGCATGCATGTGTTTCTGCGGGCAACAAGTTGATGGATAAGAGGAAGCATCTAGTATGGACCTCGTGTGCTGCACACAGCATTGATCTTATGTTAGAGGAGATCAGTGAAATCAAAATTGTAAAGGAGACTCTACAGGAAGTGATGCTGGTGTTAA